GGGAAGAAGAGCATTATCATCGGCCTCCAGGATAGTATCTTATAATCAGCACCTTGCCTCACTAGTCACTAAAGAAAGAATTCATGGATGACAAATTGTTGGTCTTTGAAAGGCTCATTTCTTGAAATTGTATTTTATGACGCTTAATTTGTTTTGTAGTATTTTTAGAATATGTTCTTATTACCATGCTTTTGATATTGTAATCTGTGTGGTATCCATGTGAAACCAAAAACTTTGAGAATAAACAAAATAATAATAATAATAATAATAATAATAATAGTAATGAAAAATAATCAGGATATTTTGACGTTACTAACAAAACTAAAGCAATGTGGAATATCACAAAAATACGACCACATCATCTCGGTACGTAGAAGAGAATGTTATTAGAAAGGGTAGTGAAAGAGAAGAAAGTAATATGGAAAAAGTGGCAAATCTCTTCAACAAACACTTTTCTAGAATTGCGACTGAACTCACGAAGAGACTAAAACCACAAAATTCAACATCATTCCCTTCCCAAAAAATGTTCGACTCGATGTTTATTTCTGAAACTTCTTCTAACGAAATCCTGAAGATAGTAAACTAAAAAATAAATATTCAGCCGGTTTAGATGAATTTCCATATTGTTTGTTGAAAACATGTGTACCTGACATTATACACCCATTAATTCACATTTTCAATGCTTCTTTATGCACAGAAATATTTCCAGATATATTCAAAATAGCAAAACTTAAACCACTTTTTAAAAAAGGGAACTAAAATGAAATTCAAAATTACCGGCCATTTCTCTTTTGTCAGTTTTCTCAAAAATATTAGAGAGGCTTTTCTACACGCGAATGGAAACTTTTCTCAGGAAAAAACGAAGCGTTTTTAGCTTCACAACACGGTTTTAGAAAATAAAAATCTACGGATACTGCCAATTTTTTCTTTTCTTAAAGATGATCAATGAACCAAAATGAAGCACCCATTGAAGTATTTTTAGATCTTTCGAAAGCTTTTGACTATAACACCTTGCTATCAAAATCACCTTCTTATGGAATTCGTGGTATTGCCCTAGACTGGATAACCTCGTACCTTAAACATCGCTCTCAAAGAGTAGAAAAATCGTACTGGCAGAATAGGGCTTTATTTACTTATCTTTCCGATTCTTTACCAATTTTATATGGGTCCCGCAAGATTCGATCTTAGGTCCTATTCTCTTTCTGTTCCACGTAAACGATATACCATCGTCTATTAAAATCGGAAGGACGGTTCAGTTTGACGATGGCACGAATGTTCTTTGCAAAAAAGAAACAATAAATAGTACGATTTCAGAAGTTTCAAATTGGCTTTGTAATAACAAATTAATAGATAACGAAGGAAAAACTGTTTCAATGCATTTTTGCATTTCAAATCAGCAATCGTATGCTCCATTGAAAATGGACGATGTGCAATTAGCTGCTATTAAGGTAACAAAATTTCTAGGTCACTCAATTCAGTCAAACCTTGAACGGAATGTACACATAACAGAATTAAACACTAATTTAAGTTCATAATATTACGCATTCAGTATTCTTTCAAATTCTATCAGCCTCCATGCAGCTCGTAGCGTGTATCTTGTAAATGTGTATTCCTGCCAGACATATAAGATAATATTCTGGGGAAGCTCATTATGTAGGACCCAGAACTTTAGATTGCAAAAGAAAAGTATTCGAATAATGAAAAAATGCCATCCACGTGATCCCTGAAAGCTTCTCGTCATTGAGCTTGGAATATCACCATTGCCTTGCCTATTTATTTACGAATCTGTAATATTTGTTAAATCTGATTTAGGGTGGGAACATATTTTCATGCAAAACTAATATTTATAATTACAACACACGTCGTACAAATCACGCACATCAAGTGTCTGTATCAACAGCTCACTATCAGAAATCCACAATACATGTACGTTACTTCATAACGCATTGCCAGATGACATTAAACAAATGAAGTAGGTACACAAATGTAAGTTAAAAGTAATGTCTTTCCTGCTACATAACTGTTTCTAAGCAATCAGAGGCTAACTAATCATTAAAAAGAAAAATAATGTTTATTTTAACAAAACAGTGATATATAATGAATTAGTTTACATTTGTATTATATATTTTTTTAAAGACTTAATATGCTTGTACTTCAGCTTCCGGATCAATGACCCCATCTCGATCACATTTTTGTCCAGTTTCCTTGATACACTGCTTGTGCTGAGTATATGCTGAGCATATGCTGAGATGGCCCATTGTTTTGGTTCTTGACGCAAATGTAGCTTCACTATGCGCACTTTTTGTTGAACTCTCCTTTTGCTTGTTGTGGTAGGAGTTGAGGTAAAGAGCAAGTTACTACTTGTTAACAATGCAGAAAAATCACACCTGCAGTTCGTCAACCGGAGCAAATAAGTTTGCTATAGGTGATCTGGGCTGTCCGGGTGACGACGCGTCGAAGGCTGAGTTGCCGACGTTTCGACCATCCTGTCGTGGTCTTCCTCAGGGCTGGTATGTACCAGCAAACGTCGGCAACTCAGCCTTCGACGCGGCGTCACCCGGACAGCCCAGATCACCCACATGACTCTGGTCGCGGAAGCCTACGACTTCAAGTTTGCTATAACTCGGGAACGGAAATGTCTAGTTTTTCAAATGTTGCAGGGTCTCGCGTTGTTTTAAATTTAATTTTTATTTATTTATCTTTAACTTTTACTCATCTAACTATTTCTAGTTGGGATTTATGATGGAAAGGGATTCTGGAACTCAAGAAAACGTGCAAAGATGATCTTCTCCCCCATACGTCACATACAGTATTTACTGTTTTTTGACTAAATAAATCTACATCTGAGATTCTAAGAAATTCTAATTTTTTAAAATCGCTGCTATATAAGGGTATTTTGGATCAGTCGGAAGGAAAATGTTCATCGTCAGCGTTTCCTCCCCGTAGGATAATTATCATTTTATAGAATAATTTTGTTATGTGATGCATGTACGAAAGTGCTAATGGGATTGTAGGATAATTTTAACTACAAAATTATAATCTAATTTGAATCTTTAAGAATGAAACGGTATGTTGTATAACATAATCTTCAGAAAAATCTTCTAGGAGCCTTCGTATTAGGTTCTCCAACACCATAGTCGGGTGTGTAGTGGCCATAGTTCACCAACAGTTTTGCTGCCGCAGGTCACTAGCGATGTGTTAGTATTAGTGGTTGCTAGGGTACAGTTGAAGCTGCTACGATGAAAGACAATCTGCTCGCTTCCTACGAACTATCCGAATTTACTCTCTAGCAGGACCATTCATAATTTCTGAAATGAGCACAACCAGGTGGGACCATCTGATCGGTATGTTAATCGGACTATTACATTCCAAGCTCCTAGAAGATTTTTCTGGATTTTCTCCCACACAAAATTATCGTACGTGTAGGGATGGGCTAGTCATGCAGTAGAAAGGAAGGGAGGAAAGAGGAGCTTATGAGGGAAAGATGAGGAGGATACGTAACAAGGAGAGGGGCAGATTGGTTAATTGTTTCAAACACACAATGGGGCGGAAAAAAGAGACGCGGAGATGAGATATTAAGAGATATATAATTGCAAAGAAAAGTTCAAAGAAGGAAACCTTGCTAGAACGAAGCGTAGCTTTCTTAAATACGCGTGTTTCCAGATACGGAACAGAATAATGTTCATTTAATGTTGCTGAAGGGGCAATGCAAAAAACTTCGGTATGATGTCTGAAATTGAGACTACTTTTCGCGAGACCATTTTGTAGGTGACTCGCCGACAATTCCAATTAAGCAGATGTCGAAGACCAGATGAGTGTACGTCTGTGGCACGTAAGAGTAGGCAATTTGACGTACGCAGTTGATAGTACGTTCCTTTGCGCCGGCAGGTACGACTCCCTTACTTTCCCAAATAGCGTGGCAAAAGTGACTGCAGACCTCAATACTCACTTGAGTAGTAGTGTTTCCAGAAAACAGTACGGAGGGAGCATCACACAGCTAACATTCATGGAAGGGCAGAAATTGTGAATCCCTTCAAAATGAAAGCCAATGCCAAGCTGCGAAAAAAACGGTGCCACGATCATAAAACCTGGACACTTCATAACTGGAAGAATGGTTCGTTGAATCATCGTTTACATTGTTTCCTAAAAACGGCCGGGTTTATATACGGAGGACCCCTAAACAAGCCAACGATCCGGTCTGTCTGCTCTCAAGCATGGGGAGGTTGTGATTTGGGCGGATATATCGTGGTATTTACCATTATCATCAACTGCCCGGCTCATATATCGTGGTACTACCATTATCCTCACTGCCCGCATTACTGTGAGTAAACATCTCGTCTTCCTCAAAAATGAAATGCTTACAATGACTAGCACATTGTGGTCAGGCACTGCCATATTCCAAGATGATAATGCCCCCATACACACAGCAGAAAAGGTTCAGGCATCAGGATATCATCGAACATCTTCCCTGACCTGCACAATCACTTCAGACCTCAACATAGTTGAACCGGTATGGGGCGTTTTAGAGCAGAGATTGAGGAGATTTCCAGTTCCAATATCGTTGAAGTAATTGCTGGATGTTTTAGTACAATAATATAATTCCGTATAAACTATACAGACACTCTCCAAATATATTCTGCGACGAATTGCAACTGTTCTAAACACAAATGATCGCTTAATATCTAATTAATATCGATTTCGTACATGTCAGGTGTTCATATATTCGTACATTCAGGTAAGTGTGTGTGTGTGTGTGCGTGCGTATATGTGTGTATATATATATATATATATATATATATATATATATATATATATATATATATATATATATATATATTTAGTGTGAGTGTGTGTCAACCCCTATATCTGCTTGCGTTTCTGGGGTAAGTTTATTACGTGACACCCTACAGTCTATTCGCATTCACATTTGTGAAGTACATACACCCTAGAGGGACACACGAGAGTACAAACTAACGCAGAAAACCAGGCGTAATGCATACCCTTCCATATCCTTGGAGTTTCTGGACATGAACGGACCTTGTTGAGCCGCTTGGAGACATCGTTGAAACAACGCATACATTGCTGGATCTGGGGCCTTCCCTTCACTTTGTTCAAGCCATTTTAAGATGCAAGCGTGAATACGATAGTATACCTCCAAAGCTTCAACTGACAAATTCTGAGGATTATTGTAGCTTATTTTCCTTGTATAACTTGCATTATTTATATGCAGGAAATGACTAGCCTGAAAAGACAAAATTTGAATTAAGTTTATCATAAGTAATACCACGAGTGCTTTGGAAATTGTCGATAAATTCCCGATTGGCGAAGCTAGGAGGGGATTAATCTGAGAATTTCCAAAGCACGAGTGGTATTTAATAGGACTATTTCACAAGTGAAATTATGTCCAACAGAGTTCCAAAAAGCGCTAAATATCGAAAATAACTGAAAGCGTATGTTAAAATCAGAGGTTACTGTTTATTGGTCATCGACATAACGTTCGATGTAAACCACCTCCTAAGGTAGATGAGCTACAGTTAATGGTTGGCCAGTAGGTAGAAGCGGTAATAAAAATCGGACAGAAAAAGCGAAAAAGCAAAAAAGTAAAAAACTTTTTGAGATACACCGCCCCGATTGGGACATTTTGTATGTATAGTTAAACACTACTGGTTTTAATTTCACGAGTGGAATAGTCAATATAATGTAGAAAACTAAGCTAGTAAGTCATAAATCAGTAAGCAAATATTAGGTTTAAATGGTCAACAATTAAGTGTAAAAGAAATCAATAATACAATAACAATCTTAAACAACGCAAATTATGTTACCTAAATTGAGAAAATAAATCCGTGGATTAGGGAATCGTACACAGTTTATACAAATTTGACATGTTACGGGCCCGGCGGATAATGTGAATATGGTGGGGCATCTACACCCACACGAAAAATTCCGAGTGGGTAAAATACCCACTGGGATATGGGATCAAAGACATATTTCGTAAATGTCAAATTCCTGAAAATCTAAATTATGTAAACGTTAACTTCACTGGAATTTGACGACACACACACATACACTGGAATTTGACGACATGCATATAGGTAACTGCGGTAATCCTAAAAATTATATTTTTTAAGAACTTACATATTAAAAACTTTCTTTTGCTTGGTAAATCGTTTGAAATTAGTTGTTAAATGATTAAACAATTAAAAAGGTTTTGGTTATATTTTGTAGCGACCAGAATCCGCGCGTGCATTCGCATCAAAACGCAAAATTTTTTGTTATATTTTGTAGCGACCAGAACCCGCGCGTGCATTCGCATCAAAACATCAAAATTCGCAACAAAACAGAAATATTATTCGAACAATCAGAGGCGGATCCAGAGACGTGTGTGTGTGTGTGTGTGTGTATGTGTGTGTGTGTGTATGTAAGTGTGCGCGCGCGCGTGCGTGTGCGTGTGCGTGTGCGTGTGCGTGCGCGCGCGCGTGTATAACACAAAGATAAACAAGGTACATTATTTATCACAAAATGTTTTGAACAAAATTAAATTATAAAGTTTAATATTTAATGAATACTTTTGTGTTTTAATTTTAAAAAATAATAATATGTCATTAAAATTGCTGAAATCCGAACTGCAAAACAACGAAGGATTATGATATATTTTCATTCAATGATACAGATACAGATGTTAACAGATATAATTTAAATAAAAAGGAATTATATCGACTTACAAATTAAACATTCGCTTACATATACATTACTGACCAAGGCTGAAGAAAGTCGACAGGATTTCACAAAATATGTTTAAAGCCTCTTCTAGTTTTTGTTTTTATAATTTCTCTATCTTTTCTTCTTTTTCTTTTTAGATATTTTCTTTCTCTTCTGAAAAACGTATTAACCGCGCTGTCTCCAGGAGCATGTAAACGATCCATGCCCTATTACTTCGGCGGCGGCGGTGGCGATGGTGTAACGGTTAGCGTACTGGACTGTTGTACCCAAGTTAGCGATCGAAGCCGTGGATTTTTAAGGGCGAAAAAATCCTTCGTACGCCTTCCTTCCTTCGGAGGGGAAGTAAAGCAGGCTGTCCCATGTTCGTAGATTTACTTGCAGATTTACTTGCATTAAAAGATCCTCAAGCCTAAATGACGCCTCTGAGCTAAATTCAAATCGCCTGTTTCTCGCCCAAGAAATACCTCCTTTCTCTCCTTTAGTTGGTGAAAGGAGCGTAGCGGAATTTGCGTGGTCAGACGGAAGAGCGGGCCTGATGGCCCGAGTTTCGCCACTTAAAATAAGGCAAATTCAATTCAATATTACTTCGTTTCGGGCACACTGTAATTGCGCGAAATGTCACAGCCCACGACTACTCGCTTGGCAACTAGCGAGAGACCTTACTCCGTCAACACTATATCCGGTTGCCACACTCCAATTCGTGAAGTTGCTTAAGCATCGCTTGTCAGTCAGAAACATAGCTGTCAACGCCTCTGGAGAACAGTCGAAGACATTTTCCATACGCACCACTTGCCTCAAATACAGAGAGAATCAGGATTCCCATTCGTAACTAAAAGACTAAGAACAGAACGCGCGGTTATTTCTTCGATACATTTAAGACGTTTCTACAATTTTTTCTTGTGTTTCTTATTTAATTTTTCATACACTTTTACTACTTTATTTTCTCTCGCCCTTGGGGAGGGGGGGGGGCTTCGATCTGACACTTGCGATTTCATCAGTGACGTAGCCAACGCTTGAGGCTACGATCTAATTTGTTTTTTTGATAAAAAAAAAAACACGTCACTTTGCTGTTGCTTTTAGGGTATTTTAAAAACATTTTAAGAGAATTTTATTGATCCATTTGGCGGTTAGGCCATAGAAATCCGCCCCTTCGCTTATTATATTTTCCCAACCCTAGGACGCGATTATTAAAAACCCGACTGTGAATCGAATGTGATCGGAAAATGAAGATCGTCGAATGTCTCATAGTACATATGTGAATGATACAGTCTCAACTCAACTCATGCTGCGATACGATTGATTCGTTTAATGATTATCGAAATATTTTTATGGTAGTTACAGAGAAGGTTATGTATGCTGCACGAAAAAACCGGCGAATTTTCTGCCAAGAAAAACTCTTTAGTAACAGTGGCCCTGGCAACAAAAAAGCGAATAAATCAGTTGCTAAAATTTAGAAAAAAAAAACTTTTAACTCGTAGTGTAAATATTAATCCATGTTTTGTAGGTTCATTAATACTAAAAAAATCGAATGACCGGGCAAAACATTAGCCCATCTGAGAACAATGCTAGCGGCTTAAACCGTTCAGCGATTTTCTCCAAAATTGTTATTCGCCAATCGATCTGGTGAAGCTCAAAGCCCCTAGGAATTTGAAACCGATATTTTAATTTTTTTCTGGTCCTTAACATAAGCACCTGGGGCATTTTTTCAAATTTTAGAAGAAAAAAAGTCTCCGATAAATTTAGTTCAATTTTTGTTAGAAATTAATTGACGGACGTAAGAGAATGCGTGCAGCTTAATGCCGTTGAAAAACCCTGAATTTGAAAAATTGCAAAAGTTAATTGTTTCCGGAGTCCTTACTAGAAAACTAAACAATTACAGAAAGAGATTTTTCTCTTAATGAATCTGTTCCTTAAAGAGAGATTTTCGAAAAAAGGTCATGTACAATTTTTCGAAGATTTAAGTACTTATCGCATAATTTTACGTTTGAAAACACGGGCGCATATTTTACGGCTGTTTTAGCACTACTATTATTGCTAACATTAAGTAACCTAAACGTTTCGCAGAGAAGTTAAAATTAATAAGTTACTGAAAATAAAAAGAAAACGAAGGGGGGGGGGATTTTGTTTACACCACAATAATGACGTAAACAAGTAAAGGGTGGTGATTCGTGCTGCGACGCTAGGAAACAAGAAAAAAAACGAGCGAGAGCATAGACAATGCCCGTACGGCAACAGAAAAAGGACAAATCAATCTTGAAAAAGAGTCTACTGGGAAGTCTTTACAGATGGAGCGTGTTGAGCCAGCTGGCCATGCTGAGAATCAAATCAAAAATGCATCAAAGATTATTTCGTAAGTCGTGAGTATAAGAATTACACTCTTGTTTTTTTCTCGAATGTGAATGCAAAAAACTATCAACAAACCAAACCTATTAAAATAATCATACAAAAAAATGTAGTTTACAAAATAAAATACAAAAAATATGCTAACTCCGGACATGAAATATAAGTAAATATAATAACATTTTACCGCCAAATTTATCAGACAAAATAGTTTCATAACAATAGTCGTCGTTCGAGTTTCCCGCCACATTAGTAATTCACATCATTAGTCATATATAAAGTATTCGCCAACGAAAGCCCCTTCGACGCGACCTGCCAGTTAGCGTGGAGTGCCACTGCTAGGCACCAAATTGGCGTCACCCTCTCGGTGCACCAGCAGCGGTGGCACTAGTAAATATAGAGTATAGAAAGGCAGAGAAGGGGCGATGGGACAGGTGCGTTCAAGCTGAAACAGCTACGTCAGCACACCCGGAATGAAACCACATCCAAATGATTTATTGCTAATAATTGCCACGTATTTCGAGCGAAAACGGTGTGAGCTGGCTTGATGCAACGCCGCACACTCAAGTTAAATTCGGGTTGTAGCTCGACCGAAACCCTCCGATGATTTATTGCTCGGTTAATTGCCACAATTTGGAATTAATTTGCCACGTTCTTCGTGGCCAAAAACGGCGTGGAAACGGGGCGCCAAGCACACCCAAAAATTTTTAATTCGCGTTTGTAGCTCCCCGACAGAAATCCCTCCGATGATTTATTTCTACGCGTAATTTGCCACAATTTTGAATTAATTGCCCACTTTCCTTCGTGCAGAAAACAGGCAAACAAAAGCAAAACACCAACTCTCCCAAAGCAAAAAATTTCCGATGGCATTTACCTTAAAAGTAAATGGCTCCAAGTACACATCTGGTTTTTTGTTATATTTTCAGCAGTCTTTCCTAACATGTAATGCATATAACCATCGTTCATCTGCCAGACCCGAAATTTCCCAGCCACCATACCAAACCTGTCAAATATTTGGAAATGACAATTTCGGTAAGCTACAATAAATTTGAAGCGAAAAAATACGATTATTAAAAGAAGAAAAATAACACAAACCTAAACTGCAGTTGCAATGAAAAGCACTTTCTTCATGCAAATTGTTTGCCACGATGTAGCCAGCAGCATATTTGGACGATTCAAATT